CCTACCTCAGCATGGCGGCCTACCTCAGCATGGCGCCAAATCCCCTCCTCTTCATTTTCCTTTCCGGGTCTTCGTTGTCCTCTTTGTGCTTTTTCTCCTTGACTTTCAACTTGCCCTTTTCCTTTTTCTTCTCCTTCTCTTTCGTTTTTTTGACTTTCCTGGCTTTATTTTCCGTGTCCTCTAGCTCAGGGTTCCCCTGAGGGGCAGATTCGCAATTCAGAGCTCCGTGGCCAGAGTGAGAGCTCTTATCAGACAGCCCGTCTGCGCAGAGAAAAAAACAATCAATACACATGGTCGGGGACTTATGGTTTATATAGGAAGGAAGGCTAAAAATGTAACATACAGAAGAATGAATAAAAGCACACCCGAGTTCTGCCCTTCCATGTAGCTACTGGTATCCTTTGAAGACAGGACTGCCTAAATCTGGTTACTTCAAGCAAGGTTTGATGCGAGGAGGGGGCCGACTGGTTCTTAGCCGGTTGTGTGAGGCTTGCTAGTGGTGAAGCACTAATCTCCCTGAAAGCTGGCTTGTTAACCTTGATCAGCTCAGAAAGCCCACATGCTGGGAAACAAACAGGGCAAGTTTATTTGGAGGAGAGGTATTTGAGTACAAATATAACCCAACTGCTTCTACCCAATTAATGCAGTCAGAGCCCTGGATTGATGCTGCTTCTAATGGCTCCAATGAGAATGTCAAGAAATGCACACTTAGTGCTCCCACCCTAAGGGGAAATGACAGTTGGTCCTTGTAGGAAAGTGAAGGAGAACATTTCTTTAGCATTGCACCGTAAAATAAATTGCATATTGCGTTCTCCAATTCCATGTTCGTTAAGCCAAAGGGCAAAACATAGCAGGAAAATGAATTACTTTTAATATCAAAACTATAATTGTGATCCTTAAATCATTTTTTTTTCCTCTGTAGTTAAGCACACATTCTTGCCTATGATTTGCAGATAATAAGGAGATGGAGAAATCATTTAAGGAAGCAGATGGCACCCTACCAGCCTCTAATTCCTCAGGCCCATCGTAAGATTTGTCTATGGCAGCTCTGAAGCTCTCATTGCAGCCTCGGCCTCGAACCATGTGTGGCCGGGGCCTGTGAAAGGGAAGTTCGTTCTTTCGGACCTCGGCCACGGCAGTCTGCAGGCTCTCCAAGGAACTGGACTTTTTCAAACCCAGAGTTGGACCAAAATCTTTGCCTGGTGATTCTGGAAAAGAAAATGTAACAGGTCAGTCTTCTCCTCCTGGGGTAGGTGAAATGACTGAAATGCTGGCTGTTCTAAGAATAGCTCTGTCTGGGCCTCTTAACAAAAGGTTGTAAAATGGGGGAGAGTCAGAGTTAATCTCAAGGTCTGCTACTTTTTGTAAACTTTGGACCAGTGGCTTGGTTTTTCTGAGGCTCAGTTTCCTTTTCTAAAGTTGCGGTAAGATTTACAATGACAACATACAAGGCTGGACAATTAAGTTTGTGAACTCATCCTAGAAAAAGGGCTTTGAAAAGTGGACTAGGCACTGGCATTGGGGCATAGCTTCTCAAGGGGAGGACTTCGAAGTGATGATCAGTGATGAAGGATGTAGGACATTTTCTAAAATGAGTTCACAAATTCAATTGCCCGACCTTGTGTATCATATAGAAATTTATACATGTGTATGTCTATATGCACAAAAATGAATCTGAAAAGTTGTCCATAGAGATGATATGTGTGTGAATAAGTGCTTATGTATGAGAGTATACACACACACGTGTATGATATGTGTGTGAATAAGTGCTTATGTATGAGAGTATACACACACGTGTATGATATGTGTGTGAATATGTGCTTATGTATGAGAGTATACACACACGTGTATGATGATATGCGTGTGAATAAGTGCTTATGTATGAGAGTATACACACACGTGCATACACATAGAGCTTTAACACAGTGAGTTTCTCTCTTCCAGTACCCATCCTAGGCACTCTCACACACTACAGCTTTTATTACTTCTGTGGTTGTTTATATGATTATTAAGGAACATACTGTACATGGAAATCAAAGAACATTGACGTGATTGTGATTTTTTTTGTGATTAAACACTTTCCCTTACCCCAGAAGCTATTTACATGTGGAAAATGCAATTTATTTCGTCAGTCAAATAAAGCAAAGCAAGAAAGAAAACAACTTTTCCAGGTCAATGCTATGGTTCTCAATCTATTTCTATTTGGGTATTTAGAAGAGGAGTATAAAATGTATGTGATATAAAATAACAAAACAGATAAAACAACACATACATGAATCTTCATAATCTTTCCAGTAGGCGGCATCTCTCATTTGCACAG